CGGCGAGGAGTGCGACCGAAGGCAGCGCCACGAGCATGGCGAGCACGACGGGATCCAGCGGCCGCTACCAGCGACCACGAGCATGACGAGCATGACGAGTACGACCGCTACCGGCGGCACAATTACGCCCAGCACGACGGAGAGTAATGCGACCGAGGGCAGCCCATGAGTATGACGAGTACGAGAGATACTAACGGCACCACTACGCCCAGCACGACGGCGAGCAGTACAGCGGTGAACAGCACCGCAAGGCTGGCGAGCGCGACTGGCACCAGTAGTACCATTACGCCCAGCACATTGGAGAGTCCTGAGGTCTGCACCACGTGAATGACGAGTACGACCGGCCCAGCGGCTCTACGCCCAGCGCGTCGGCGAGCAATGCGACCAAGAGCAGCGCCACCCGTGTGACGAGCGCGGCCTCTACCACCAGCACCACTACGCCCAGCATGTGCGCGGGCAGTGCGACCAAGAGCGGGACTGCGGGTGCGGCGAGCGCGACCGATGCCAGCAGCACTACTACGCCTAGCATGTCAGCGAGCAGTACGACCGAGAGCATTACCGCAGATGCGACGAGCGCGACTGGTGCCAGCAGCGCCGCGACGCCCAGCGCATCGGCGAGCGGTTCTATTGAAAACAGCACCACGAGGGCGGCGAGCGCGGCCGGTCCCAGCAGAACCACTACGCCCAGCGCGCCGGCGAACAGAACGACCGAAAGCAGCGCCACAAGTGTGATGAGCACGACCGGCACCAGCAGCACCACTACGCCCAGCACGTCGGCGAGCAGTACGACCGAGAGCAGCGCTACCAACGTGGCGAGCGCGACCGCTACCAGCAGCACCACCAAGCCCATCGCGTCGGCGAGCAGTACGACCGAGAGCGGCACCACGGATATGACGAGCGCGACCGATGCCAGCAGCACCACTACGCCGAGCAGGTCGGCGAGCAGCACGACCGGGAGCAGCGCCGCGGGTGGGGCGAGCGCGACCGGTCCCAACAGCACCACTACCCAGCACAGCGGCGAGCAGTACGACCGAGAGCAACCCCACGAGTGTGGCAAGCGCGATTGGTACCAGCAGCACCACTACGCCCAGCACGTCGGAGATTACGACCGAAAGCAGCACCGCGAGAAAGCGACACCACTACGCTCATCGCGTCGGGAGCAGCACTACCGAAAGCAGCTCCACGAGTATGGCGAGCGCGAACTCTACCAGCAGCACCGCTACGCCCAGCACGTCGGCGAGCGGTACCACCGAGAGCAGCGCCAAAGGTGCGACGAGCGCGACCGCTACCAGCAGCACCACTACGCCCTGCTCGTACGACCGAGAGCAACAGCACGGGTGCGGCGAGCACGACCGGCACCAGCAGCACCACTACGCCCAGCACGTCTTAGAGCAGTACGACCGAGATCAGCCGCGCGAGTGTGACTAGCGCAGCTGGTATCAGCAGCATCAAGCCCAGCACATCAGAGAATAGTACGACAGAGCAGCACCACGCGTGCGACGAGTACGACCGCCACCGTCAGCACCACTACGCCTAGCACGTCGGCGAGCAGTACGACCGAGTGCAAAACCACCAGTGTAAGAAGCACGGTTGGTACCAGCGGCATCACTACCCCCTGCGCGCCGACGAGCAGTACGACCGAGAGCAGCACTACGAGGGTGACGAGCATGACCGGTACCCGCAGCACCACCGACACGTCGGCGAGGAATGCGACCGAGAGCAGCGCCACCAATGCGACGAGCGCGGCCGGTACCCGCAGCACCACTACGCCCAGCACGTCGGCGAGCGGTGCGCGAGAGCAGGGCCACATAGTGTGACGAGCAGGACCATTACCAGCAGCACTAGTACGCCCAGCACGTCTGATAGCAGTACGATCGCGAGCAGCACCACGAGTATGGCAAGCACGACCGGTACCAGCGGCACCGCTGCGCCCTGCACGTCGGCGAGCAATGCGACTGTGAGTAGCACGACGAGTGGGTCGAGCACGACCCGCACCAGCAACGCCACTGCGCCCAGCACGTCGGCGAGCAGTACAACCGAGATCAGCACCACGTGTGTTGCAAGCATGGCATGCGCCCGCGTCATCACTATGCCCAGCACGTCGGCGAGCGGTGCGGCCGAAAGCAGCGCCACGAGTGTGACGAGCGCGACCCGTGCATGCGGCGGCACTACGCCCAGCAAGTCGGCGAGCAGTACGACAGAGCGCCGCACCGCGAGCGACGAGCTCGACTGGTACCAGCATCACCGTTTCGCCCAGTACGCCAGAGCAGTGCGTCCGAGAGCAGCACCACGAGGGTGACGATCACGACCAGCACCAACAGCGCCACTACGCACAGCATGTCGGTGAACAGTGCGACCGAGAGCAGAGCCATGAGCGTGGCGAGCACGACCGGTACCAGCAGCGCGGTTGCGCCCAGCGCGTCGGCGGACATTACGACCGAGAGCAGCACCACGAGTGTTGCGAGCACGACCGGGACCAGCAGCTCCTTTACGCCCAGCGCCTCGGTGAGCGGTACGACCGAGTGCAGCGCCACGAGCTCGACGAGCGCAACCGGTACCAGGAGCTCTACTCTGCTCAGCACGTCGGCAAGTAGTACGCGCGAGCAGGGTCACTAGATTGACGAGCAAGACCATTGCCAGCAGCACTAGTACGCCCAGCACGTCGGATAGCAGTGCGATGGCGAGCCGCACCACGAGTATGACAAGCACGACCGGTACCATCGGCACCCCTACGCCCAGCACGTCGGCGACCAGTACGACCGTGAGTAGCATCACGAGTGTGGCGAGCACGACCCGCACCAGCAGCCCCCCTACGTCCAGCACGACGGCGAGCAGTACAACCGAGAGCAGCACCATGTGTGTTACGAGCATGGCATGCACCCGCGTCATCGCTATGCCCAGCACGTCGGCGAGCGGTGCACCGAAAGCAGCACCGCGAGTGTGACGAGCGCGACCCGTGCATGCAGCGGCACTACGCCCAGCAAGTCGGCGATCAGTACGACAGAGCGCCGCGCCACGAGCCACGAGCTCGACCGGTACCAGCAGCACCGCTACGCCCAGCACGTTAGAGCAGAGCGACCGAGAGCAGCGCCACGAGGGCGACGATCACGACTGGCACCAACAGCGCCACTACGCGCAGCATGTCGGTGAACAGTGCGACCGAGAGCAGCGCCACGGGTCTGGCGAGCACGACCGGTATCAGCAGCACTGTTTCGCCCAGCGCGTCGGCGAACGTTACGACCGAGAGCAGCGCCACGAGTGTGACGAGCACGACCGGGACCAGCAGCTCCTTTACGCCCAGCGCGTCGGCGAGCGGTGCGACCGAGTGCAGCACCACGAGCTCGACGAGCACAACCAGTACCAGCAGCTCCACTCTGCTCAGCACGTCGGCAAGTAGCACGACCGAGAGCAGCACCGCGAGTGTGACGAGCACGAACCGTTCCAGCAGCACCGCGAGTATGACGTGCACGACCGGTGCCGTCGGCACCCCCACGTCCAGCACGACGGCGAGCAGTACGACCGAGAGCAGCATCACGAGTGCGACGAGCACGACACGTTCCAGCAGCACCACGAGTATGACGAGCACGACTGGCACCAGCAGCCCCCCATACGTCCAGCACGACGGCGAGCAGCACGACCGAGAGCAGCACCATGAGTGTGACGAGCACGACCGGTACCAGCAGCACTACCTTTCCCAGCACCACGCCCAGCGCGTCGGCGAGCGGTGCGACCGAAAGCAGTACAAGGAGCGTGACTAGCACGACCAGTACCAGCAGCGCCACTGCGGCCAGCACGTGGGCGAGCAGCAAGACCCAGTGCAGCACTGCGAGTGTGGCGAGCACGACCAGCACAAGCAGCACCGCTACGTCCAGCTCGTCGGCGAGCAGCACGAGCAGCTCGCGACCGCGGAAAACACCGTGGACAAGCAGACCTTCGGCATCATGGCTTCCTGATCCCTCCTCTCTCCCCATTTCACTAGCAATTGCGACCGTTAGTCGCCCTGATCCTCCCCCCCCCCCTCTTTCTCTACCTGAATATGGGACCGTTTGTCCCCCCTGATCCGCGTCGCCTGGTTATGGGACCGCTTGTCCCCCTGATCCCGCAGGGTCTCCCTGCTCCACGCGGCCCGCGCCCACCTGGTGATGGGGCCGTTTGCAACTGGTTTTGGGATCGTTTGTCCGTCCTGATCCCGCAGGGTGCCCTGCTCCACCCGGCCGCGCGCTACTTCTGGCGCGGGGGCTGGCTCGCTGGGCCGGCCTTTCTCCTTCCTGCCTGCTTCTCCCCCCCCCCCCCCCGCTCGCTACCCCTCCTCTCATGGCGGCAGCGCCCGGCACTGCGCGACTCCCGCCTGGTGCCGGGCGCCTGTTCCTTGCCGCCTCGGCGGCCCCGCTGGTCTTGGCGCTGCGCGGCTCAGGCCCGGCCCTTGACACTGCGGCTCGGCAGCGCAACGTGCGCGGCTTCTGCCCGTTCTCACGCGCTTGCCGATGCGGAGCAAGCTTCCTCCCTGCAGCGCACCGGCATCCTGTCGGTCACGGGCGGCAAGTTCACGGTTCGCCTGGCTGCCGCGCCTCAGGCTGCGGGCCCCCATGTTCGTGGATTGGACTACCGCGGCTGGACTTCTTGGCAACACTTTGGTGGCACAACGTTGCACTCCAGCTCAGTGGTGCTCCTCTTCCTCTCGGACGTCGACCCGGTGACGCGGCGCGTCCTCTCCCACAGTTTGCGAGGCTGGTGTTCTCGAAGCGCCGATGGCGGCGCCACCGCCGGCTTTCTTTTCCCGGGGCTACGCCGCCGGGCTCCTGTCCAAGGTGCGCCTTTCCTGTGCAGCATTTTCGGCACCGCCTGATCCCAGGGTTCCGCCCTCTCCAGGCCGCGTGAGGCCCCGCCCTCTTCCGCCCTTTCTCTGCTGATGAAAACAGTGCGCGTCCCGCTTAGCTTTCAGCGGAAGAGGTTCGCTCTCGCCCCGCAGAATATTAAAGAAGTATTCGATGTTTCTATCCACTGGTTCGACCTGCGCGTGGCCAGGTCGCGGGTGGGGGCCAGGCTGTCATGTCGTCGGGGGGCTGAGTTTGAGCGCTAGCGCGACCGCTTTTCAAGCAGCGTCACTCTGAGTGACCGAGCATAAAGTCGCAGCGCTCCATTTGGTACGTCGTTTGCCCTGACGCTGTTGGTTAGTTGATTCTTTGCCCCAGTCCGGCCCGAAAGCGGCCCCCAGACACCGCGAGTGAGAAAACGCTCCAGGATTGAAAGGCACGCCATGGGCCTGGAGTTTTCTCCGCCGCCCAGGTGAAGTACACGGAGCATCGCATCATGGACTTTGCTGGCAAGCGCGGCATCATGAGCAGAGGGAAGTCCGAACCTGGTTCGCTGCAGCCGCTGCGGCTGCGTTCGAAGACGAGCGACCTCGTCTCTGGGGCCGACATCGCGGAACCAGCGCGTCCAGGGGGATTTGTTTGGGGGGACCGTCGGTCGCCACGGTTGGAATCGCCTCGATATCATAGTCAGAACGCGCGTGGGCCCACGGTTCGACTCGGAACGATCGAGACCCAAACTTCAGAACGTCGTGAAAGAAACGTGGCGGGCGCCGTACCGCTGTCGGTATACGAATGTTTCTTTGATCCGCGGCGGAGAAATGGCCCCCGATACGGGGTCGAGAGCTCCGTTGGGGGTGCGCCCTTCTCAATTGCAGTCTCGGAGTTTGCGTTCCGGCTCCCAATCCCGCTCCCTCCTCGCCCTGCTGCGTTCGGTTTTCTCATCCCTCCCTTGCTCCTTGCTCGCTGGCAGGGCCTCCCTCCGCGGCCGTCTTCCGTCTCCTGCTGCACGCAAATGCCCGTTCAGGTTCGTTCGCGTTGTGCCCCGCATCGGTGCGACGAAAACGTGCACTGGGAGCGGCGAGGCAAGGGGGGGAAGGACACGCCCGCCACGTACCAGGCGCCCGCAGTGCCGTTCTGGGCCCACACCTCGGTGCACAGCAGCACCCAGCGAGGATACAAGCCACGCCCGCCAGGCTCCTGGCCCGCAGGCAGGCCTGGTGGGCGGGACTGCGGGGGCCCGGAGGCGGGTGGTCCCCTCGGCATTCGGAGGGGGGCTCTCCGGTTCCGCGCCTGCCGATGCCCCAGATCGTCTTCCTCGCCAAGGCCCAGACCCTCGAGTCGTTTGATTTCGCGAACCCGCAGCCAGCGACGACATTGGAGAAGACGCTGTCCTTCGAGGTGCCGCCTCAGAGGGCGGACGCCGCGAAGGATTGGGAGACGCCAACCGTACACCCACAGGCTCAGGCCGAGTCCGGGCTCAGAATCGGTGTTATATGCGTGCCTCTGCCCTCCTGGCCAAGTCAGGAGAGTGCGTGCGCCGATCCTGGGCCCATAACGGGCCTGGCTAGTATGGTGTGCCCATGTATAGTTGGCCTCTTCAAGGAGTTTTCCGGCTTCTGCATGTGGACCAGGCCTGTTTTTTCCGTCCACTGCTCCAAGAAGATGACGGAGGAGGGAGGAGGTGATTTGAGCTTTTCCAGGGGGTCTAGGGACGTTCCAGGCCGTTCTGAAGGAGTGTAGGTAGTTTCTGAAGGGTATTCTGCCCCTCCAGAACTTCCCAGTCCTTGATCCCTTTTTCATCCTGCTGCTCTTGCTTCTGTTCCCATTACTTGTAGGTTCCTCCTTTGTGTCCTCCTCCTCCTCCTTTTTCTTCTTTATCTTTCTCATCCTCTTTGCCTTTCCCCCCTGCCGGTTTCGAGGCGAGTTCATTGTCTTTGAAGGCCATTGTTGTCCGACCAAGAGCAGCCACTGTTTCTATTGGACAGCGGTAATTTGAGGCGTCGTCCCGTTTCATCTAGTTGCACTGCCACGCGAATCAACCTCCGCGCTCGGGCGGGCGCCTGGGGAGGGGGAGATCAATCTCGGGCGGGGGGGGGCTCATGGGGGTGACATGGCATGGAACGTCTCACCCATACTTTTCATGTTGACATCGTTCTCTGCTCGCAGTGATCAAGCACATATGTACGTGGTCATATACGTTACCGCATGTTGGGCCCTGGTTTTCGTTTCGCAGGACGCGGAGTTGTCACACATCACATGCCCGACGCACATCAGCCATTGTGAGCACGGTGGCGGATGATGCCACCATTTTGGGCGTGCCAAGACTTGGGACTCCCCCAATCAACTTGTGAGCCAGGCTAGTGGTCGACAAGGATCATGTCGTGGAGGTGAAGGGCCAGAAGGTCACAAGCCACTGGGCCTACGTGGTGGCGCTCATGAGCGACTTGCCCGTGCCGTTAGCAGCGCCAGGCCCCATCGAGCTCAAGGCATCGATCGATTACGGCTCCAATCCTGTTCGTTACACTTTGGAGGCGAGCGGAGTCACAGTTTGATGGCGGAGCTTATAGGGGAGGCGCACCGCAGAGCCGTGGAGCTGCGCCCTGTTCCGCAGCTCCGTCTTGTAGCGTTCGCCTCGCCAGTGCCGCACTCGGCATACGGCATTCGCACTGGAATTTTTGAACCACGCCCTGCAATTCCCCGCCCCTGCTACGCCGGCAAAACAAGCGCTCACTTTGATCAGCTTCTCCCAGGGGTAGGCGGGGGGGACAAGTGAGAGAGAGAGAGAGGGTGAGATTGAGAGAGAGAGAGAGAGAGAGAGCGAGCAGTTGTGAGTAGCCCCCCATGTATATAGATACATATGTATTATTGAAGTGGCCAATCGATTACATCTAGTCGTGGGTGTGCGCTGAACTTGAATCGAGCGAGGCTCCGAATAAGCTAGATTCCGGGTGGAAGCACCGACCTGGAGAAGGAGGGGGACGATAAGGAGCCGAAGGAGGAGGAGGAGGACGAGGACGAGGGGGCGAGGAGGATCGGAGGAGCGAGGAGCGAGGAGCCAGGGGGAATGAACGACGATCAGGTGGAGGATCGTCGGACGAGGACCAAGCGAGGGAGAAGGCAGAGGAGAATGAGGAGAGGATGTCCCCCCGGACCGAGGGGCCGCAATGCGCTGGCCGCCCTCGCGGCACGGTCGCGCCTTACAGCGCTGGCCCTGGCCGCCTGGGCCGCGGCGGAGGAGGGGAGGGGGAAGGGCAGGATGAGGATAGAGGAGGAGGGGAATCGAGATTTGAGAAGGATCCATGAGGAGGGAGGATCGAGGAGGAGTATGAGGATCGATGAGTAAGTGGACGGGGGAGGGAAAGATGGGGATCCAAGAGGAGGAGGAGGCGGATGATGAGTATGATTGAGTGTGTTGCGCGATTTCATTTGTTTCGGGCTTCTGAAGGATACTAAGGCTTCTGCATCGATGATTGGTACCAGGTTCTCGCGAGGGGGTCAGGACAGGTGCCACGCTTGCTGTCGCAGCCGGGGGAAATGCAGCAACTATATTAGTGAGAGTCTTGTGATCCAGTACGTTTCCTACTGGGGCGAATATGCGCGACGTCAGAAGGAGAGATGACTGAGGATAACTAGGGGGAGGAGGATAACGAGGGGGAGGGGAACGCGGAGGAAAAGGACGATGGCGAGGACGAGACTTTGGAAGGGGGGAGAAGGACTAGGAAGAGGGGAAGGTTGATGCTACTTACTAGGAGGATGACGGACAGACAGACAGAAACCATATACCTAAGTCGTGCGGCAAGACAATCGAAATTTATGACACATCCGAGTGCGAGAATCGCATCTCGGCATTTGCGAGCTCTGTATTAGGCATGGTCTAACAGTTGCTGGGTGGTCCCAGACACCTTTGAACAGGCAGGACACGTCGTAGCCCCTACTAGGATCACGGACGCCACGGGGTTCCGATGGCCGTGAATCTTCATCCTGTGCGTAGACAAGGCTTTGCTGCTACTGAACCCGGCCACGGAAAATCTTGGCACATTCCCAGCACGGAATTGCAAGACCCTCTGTGGAGTCGTGATGATAGGGTGATGATTATTGGCTCGAGAGTGATGGTGATGATGATGAAGTAAATCTGCTCCTCTCCGCCTCTTACTGCGCTTGCCTCTTTTGCTGCCTGCCATGCCACGTCTTGACTCTGCGGCACTGTCCCGCAGCTATCTGTGCTCACAGGATAGAAAAGGAGCGTGCGGGCTTGCACGCGCGCGCCGAGGGGTCGTTCCCTCGTCGTTGTCGTGTCGTCGGCCTGCCGACCACCTCACTTCCCATTCCTGAGTACAGTTGCTTAACGGTTACTTGTGGTTTCATCGATGTCTCACCCCGTATCCTCTGCTACTGAGCAGAGTCAACACGAGACCTTAGTTCCTTTGTCATCTTACCCCGGTTATCAGAGGGAAACTGGTTATCAGCCGAAGCCCGCGACCAAGTCGCAACAGGGATGAGCTATGATGAGACAGCCGAATTGCCCGTCGGATCCCAAGATGTACAACATGACGGGCAAGAACTACAGGAGAGCGGCCCGCGGAGGGGCCGCCTTCCCTCTTCTTCTATTGCCACTCGGGTCTCTCGCGGAAGGAGTAGGGGAGAGGTGATTGATTTGTCAAGAGACGATTCTCCCGCTCGAGCCCCGATCGGCGATCGTGAACAGACCCCAGACCCGAAGAGGCGGGACGGCGCAACAGCAAAAATCAGACGAGGAGCATTTTCCTCATTGGTTGCGGAATCCTCGGGGACAATACACTCCAGCCCGATTGCTAGGCGGACTATTGTGCCGGCCGCTCGCCAAGCCAGTGGGTCGGGAGAAGCTGAGGGGTCCATAGGTGTGTGCCCCACCGTCCCAGACGGATGGGGAACGCTCAAGGGGCTCATCCTCGCCCTATAGCCTTGAACGGACAATAAGGCAAAGATAGTGATGAACAAGTTCATGATGGAGACGACATAAATTCCGTGGAGGAATACATAGATTACGCCAACTATCAAGTATCAATGGGCCGAGATTTGTCATCGATAATTGACGCAGACCACCCCGTCCGAGACGAGAGGTGGCCCCCCTGGGCAGGATACAGTTGACTATGATCACGTGGAAGCCCTTGGGACAGCGTTTGCAGAACCAGACTCGGATACCGAGATAAGTGACCTGCCGCCCCAGGCGGTTGAGGCAGACATTGATTTTCAGACTCACGCGAAGCATGATCGGGAGATCACAGGACGAACTCCCGCTCCTCAACTCAAGAAGCAAAGGAATGAGGATTACGACTTGAACGATTCCCCGCTTCAGGGAGGGTTCCATCGAACTGCCGTCGCCACAGGCGACTGGCAACCGTCGATACCCGTTGTAGTTGAGGATGATGAAATGATCACCCCCCCGGCTCCGCTGAATGAGTTGATTAGACAAGATGAAAGGGATGCGGACAGGGCAAAAGGCTGGGAAGCCGGGGCGGGCGAACATTGAAGGAGGAGGAAAAAGGCGGGGGAGAGGAAGCCCAGGTTGTGTTTGGAAACGAACCAACCCTGGGCAAATTGTGTATGCAGGGGGCCAACCAACCAGGGTTCCCCCCACAAACACGCCAGCGCTTCGCAAAAGTCCATGCAGGGGGCGAGCATGGCCAGGGCCACCTCCATGTGGGAGAAACGCAAGCATTTGACAGAAACCGCACCGTCAGAATCCAGGGGACATCCAACAAAACATGGGGGAACGACGGTTCCTTCTAGAAACAAGCCGGCCCTGTGCGAAGGAGGGTAGCCGGGATGGGCGAACACGGGAGGAGGAGGACGGGAACGGGAGGGGAAACCCAGGTTGTGCCTAGAAACGAGCCAGCCTTCGGCAAATTGTGTATGCAGGGGGCGAGCATACCAGGGTTCCTCTCAGAAGCACGCCAGCCCTTCGCAAAACTCCGTGCAGGGGGTGAGCATGGCCAGGGCCAGCCCCATGTGGGAGAACGCGCAAGCCTCTGGGAGACGCACTGTCACGAACCAGGGGGCATCCAACAAAAAACATGAGGGAACGACGGTTCCTTCTAGAAACAAGCCGGCCCCTGTGCGGAAGAGCATGAAGAAACGTAGACAAAAAAGGGCAGGGCAAAAGGCTGGGTAGCCGGAAAAGGCGAACACGGAAGCAGGAGGAGGAGGAGGAGGAGGAGGAGGAGGAGGAGGAGAAGGAGGAGGAGGAGGAGGAGGAGAAGGGAAGGGGGGGGAGGCCAGGGTGTGCCAAGAAGCGAGCCACCCCTTGGCAAATTGTGTATGCAGGGGACGGCGAACCAGGGTTCCTCCTTGAAACACGCCAGCCATTCGTAGAAATCCAAGCAGGGGGCGAGCATACCTAGGGCCAGCCCCGTGTGGGAGAAAGCCCAAGCCTGTGAGCAGCGTGCGGCCTCTGTGGGCAGCCTGCTGGGGCCTCTGTGGGCAATGTGGTGGGGCCTCTGTGAGCGCGCTTGGGGCCTCTGTGGGCAGCGTGCTGGGGCCTTTGCGGGCGCGCTTGGGGCCTCTGTGGGCTGCGTCTGAGGCCTCTGTGGGCAACGTGCTGGGGCCTTTGTGGGCGCGCTTGGGGCCTCTGTGGGCAATGTCTGGGGCCTCTGTGGGCAGCGTGCTGGGGCCTCTGTGGGCAGAGTGCTGGGGCCTCTGTGCGCGCTCGCGGCCTCTGTGGGCAATGTCTGGGGCCTCTGTGGGCAGCGTGCTGGGGCCTCTGTGGGCGGCGGGCTGGAGCCTCTGTGCGCGCTTGGGGCCTCTGTGGGCAGTGTCTGGGGCCTCTGTGGGCAGCGTGCTGGGGCCTCTGTGGGCGGCGTGCTGGGGCTTCTGTGCGCGCTTGGGGCCTCTGTGGGCAATGTCTGGGGCCTCTGTGGGCAGCGTGCTGGGGCCTCTGTGGGCAGCGTGCTGGGGCCTCTGTGGGCGAGCTGGGGGCCTCTGTGGGCAGTGTCTGGGGCCTCTGTGGGCAGCGTGCTGTCGCCTTTGCGGGCGCGATTGGGGCCTCTGTGGGCGCGCATGGGGAGGCCCGCCGCCTGCCT